CTGAGACCCGGGGCCTCTTAGGGCAGGGCTGAGGACCATTCATAGCTGTTTGCTCCGCTCTGTTGATTCCCTGAGACCCCGCCCCACCCAAGCTGTGCGCAGAGGCTTTTGCATATGAATGGCCTGGCCCTTTGCAATCTAAAATTACCTAACAAACTGCAGCTGGGTCAGAGAGACCCAGAACATCCAAAAGAAGGCCCAAGGCCCCACAGCAGCTTGCACTGCTTCACAGCTGAGCCTCATCTGGGAACCTCCAAACCCCAAACAAAGAAGAGGAATCTGCAGATCTCTCCGTAGCTCCTGCTGGGTAGCCTCAGGCAGAGACTAAATTAACACCTCCTTAGAGATCCAAGAGCCAGTGTACCCAGTTGTCAGAGTGGGACCATCCAGATTACAACTCCTCAGATCCATAAGGGACACACTCAGGGGGCAGACTCACTGAGCACCAAAGCCCCACTGAAGCAAGTCTTGCCCCAGAAGGGTGCCTCCAGCACAGAAGTTCTCCCACTGCAGACACAGCTGATTCTCACAGCCAATTGGCCTGGAGGTCAATTCCTCCCAGTGATACCTACAACAATCAAGGCTTAACTACAACAAGACTGTGCACAAAACCCACAAAGGGGTGCACCAAGAGTGTCCACCTCAGGTAATTGGGGAGGCTGAGCCACTGGGCCCTATAGGACACCTAGCACACAAAGCCACTCTATCAACACAGGGAAGCAGCCAAAATGCGGAGACAAAGAAACAGGTCACAAATAACAGAAATGGAGGAAAGCAAACTACAGGATATAGAGTTCAAAACCATGGTTATAAGGTTTTTCAAGAATTCTCTAGAAACCACCGATAAACTTAGTGAGACTCTCAAGAAATATAGTGAGACCCTCGAGGTTATGAAAAAGGACCAACTAGTAATTAAGCATACACTGACTGAAATAAAGAATATTATACAGAGTTCCAACAGCAGACTAGAAGATTGCAAGAATCAAGTCAAAGATTTGAAATACGAAGAAGCAAAAATTACCCAACCGGAAAAACAAAAAGAAAAAAGAATCCAAAAATATGAAGATAGCGTAAGGAGCCTCTGGGACAACTTCAAACGTACCAACATCCGAATTATGGGGGTGCCAGAAGAAGAGAGAGAGCAAGATATTGAAAACCTATTTGAAGAAATAATGACAGAAAACTTCCCCTACCTGGTGAAAGAAATAGACTTACAAGTCCAGGGAGTGCAGAGAACCCCAAACAAAAGGAATCCAAAGAGGACCACACCAAGACACATCATCATTAAAATGCCAAGAGCAAAAGACAAAGAGAGAATCTTAAAAGCAGCAAGAGAAAGACAGTCAGTTACCTACAAGGGAGTACCCATACGACTGTCAGCTGATTTCTCAACAGAAACTTTGCAGGCCAGAAGGGAGTGGCAAGAAATATTCAAAGTGATGAATACCAAGAACCTACAACCAAGATTACTTTATCCAGCAAAGCTATCATTCAGAATTGAAGGTCAGATAAAGAGCTTCACAGACAAGAAAAAGCTAAAGGAGTTCATCACCACCAAACCAGTATTATATGAAATGCTGAAAGGTATCCTTTAAGAAGAGGAAGAAGAAGAAAAAGGTAAAGATACAAATTATGAACAACAAATACACATCTATTAACAAGTGGATCTAAAAATCAAGTGAATAAATAATCTGATGAACAGAGTAAACTGGTGAATATAATAGAATCAGGGGCATAGAAAGGGAGTGGACTGACTATTCTCGGGGGGCAAGGGGTGTGGGGGTGTGGGAAGAGACTGGACAAAAATAGTACGCCTATGGATGAGGACAGTAGGGGAGGTGGGTAAGGGCAGAGGGTGGGGTGGGAACCGGGTGGAGGGGAGCTATGGGGGGAAAAAAGAGGAACAACTGTAATAATCTGAATAAAGATTTAATTTAAAAAAAAAGAAATAATGCCCAGTGTGAACAAAGATTTATGCACAAATTCATTGAGGTATCTTTAGCAACAGCAAATTGGATACACCTGTAATGTCCCAAACAAAATGTATGTTTACGCAAATA